AGAGTTTAGGGCATCGGAAGCCAGGGAGCAGAGAGGACGCTTGGCCTGATCCTGGTGGTAGGAGGAAAGGATCTGACCGTGAGAATTCGACGCGTTATTTGCTCGTGTGTGTCGCTTTGACGCGCACGTGAGCCGATCACAGCAAAAGACAATGACAATTTTTTACCTCAGTCACTCTGACGGGACTCGACTCATAACCTCGATATTTTTCTGTTTATTTACCCCTGCATACTCATCCGGCTGTGGTCTCCAGCTTCCTCCTCTCCTCTTCTCTACTTCTTTTTCCGATCCTAAAATGTCGGAAGTAACCGCAGAAAAGCCAGCGCAAAATGGCACTACCGCTACCCCTACTGAGGAAACCTCAGCGATCGGCGGCGACGTCGAGATGGGCAACGACGAAGAGAAGAACCTCAAGGGCAGAGCTCGTCGACAGGGTCAGTGTTATTTGAGCTTTACCCTCTGTATATCACTGACGCTTGCAGAACTTTAGTCGAGTTCTATTTTGCGGATTCCAACCTTCCTTACGACAAGTAGGTAACAGGCACTATACTACGAGAAGTCATAATTAACAAAAAACTGGTCTTCAGGTTCATGTGGTCACTACACTCGAGAGAACCGGAGCATTGGGTCTCGATAGATACCATAGCAGCTTTCAAGCGCATGCGACAGTTCACAAAACACGGCATAGCTTGGGTCACGGACGCACTGAAGAGCAGCGAACTGCTCGAGGTTGACGAGTCTGGCAGAAAAGTCAGGAGGAGAACAGAGGTGAAGGAGCCTACGGGTCAGTTCGCACGAAGTGTTTATGCGGTGAGTAATAGTTATCGTCCCTCTGTTGGAACGTCTGGCTTACTCCAAGTACAGAAAGGCTTCCCTGACGAAGATGAGAAACTCCAGGAGCGATTAGAGGACTTCTTCCAAGGTTATGCCAGCACCAACGAAGTTCGCATGAGGAGAGACGAGGATAAAAAATTCAAGGTGCGAACACTTCGTTAACATTCCAGTTCGTTCTCAAGGACTGAATACGGCTTTACTTTAGAACTCTGTCTTTGTCGAGTTCACCGAACCCAGTGGAGTCCAGGCGTTCCTGAGTGCCGACCCCAAACCCACTTTTGACGGGAAGGAACTTCTCACCATGTCCAAGTTCGTCATTTTTATATCTTTATTTACATCCCAACGCTCACCAGGCTCCCAGGGAAGACTACTGCGAAATGAAGATCAAAGAAAAAGGTCTCACCGGAAAGGCTGCCGACCGAAAACGAGACACTTTCAACTCCCGTCGCGGATTCAACGCCTTCACTATACCCCAAAAGGACGGCGGTCTCGCTCCCGAAGGTGCTGCATCCGCAGGGGATGGCAAGCCCAAGCGGGAGGTCTACATGGAGTACTTTGGCAAGAAGCTTTTGATAACCAAGGACAACCACGGAAACGGCACGGTCAAGGAGGAAGACATCCCTTTCGTCAAGGGATCCACTTTGAAGTTCGAGGGTGTTGGAGAAAACTTCTCTTGGAACGACATCAAGGTGTGTATCTTTTTCTTCCTACTTCCATCGCACCAGGGTTCTAAAAAGACGTCACAGAACCCCATACGCGAGCTCTTCGAGAACAAGACTCCGTACATCGAGTACAACCGTGGCGACAACCACGGGTTGGTCGGCTTCCACGCTACCTTGTCGGAGGAAGACATTGAGAAGGTGAAAAACGCTGTCAAGACCATCAATGGTAACGAGATTACCTGGTCTCAGATCCCCGGTATGATCTCTTTCGCTCGTTCCCTTTGATCCGATCGTTTACCTCCTTACGCAGAGGACGAAGAAAAGGCTTTCATGGTCAAGCGGGCACAATCCGGTGCTCGACATGCTCTTCGCCAGGCCGAGGAAAGGAATGATGGCGGTAACTTTAAGGGTGGTCGAGGCAGTGGACGAGGAGGTCGTGGTGGGCGCGGTGCTGCCCGTGGTGGTGGACGTGGCCGGGGAGGAAGAGGTGGCGGTGGAAGGGGTGGTGGAGGCCGTAACGGGCGAGATTCAGAGAAAAATGGCACTACCGAGAGCGCTGCAGACAACGCTGAAGTCGGGGAGAAGAGGAAACGTGCTGTCGAGCCTGATGGTGGTCCTGATGTTGGTGTGCGAGGCCAAGATGCTCCACCTGCCTTGCAACCGGCGAAGAAGGCTAAAACAGACGGGGAGAGTTCGTAGTCGTCTTGGACGTCTCATACTTATCTTGTAGCATCTTTTTTTGGTATCTGTGATCTGTGTGTTTCAGTACGCATAAAAAAATGTACCATAGTCAATATTCAAACGTTTTGTACTTTGCCAAATCCAGCAATTTGGAGCTCGAGATGAATTGACAAGTGTAGATTACAGTTGTACGGATATATACAATTATAGATACAGGAATAATACTATATATAGTACCGATACACAGAGCGTATAAATAACACGGAAAAATGAAGAACAGAAACTCAAACCCTAGACGAAGATGCAGCAGCGTTTGGTGGTACCGAAGACCCAGACGGTTCTAACGCGCCCGGCCCAGCAGAAGACGATTGGTAGTTTTTCAAAGATATTATTGCCGTTCCTCTTCCAGCCTCCTCTCTGAGAAATCTCGCAAAGTTTGGGGACTCGGGAGACTGAGGAGACGCGCCCTCGTGGTTTCTGGCAGCATCGACAGGATCGTCTCCGAAATCCTCGATGATCGTTGATAACGTCCCTCGAAACGAGAAGGTCGTCGTAGTTGCTCTTACTGCATCCTCAAATGCCAACGCGCCGTCACGATTGCTGGAAGATGAGGAACCAGGGAGCTGGCTGAGTGGATGGCTTAGGGAGGGAGGCATTTGAGAGCGTTCGTCCGACCATCGTCGGATGTGAAGGAGAAAGCGGGCGGTGAGGAGACCGGAGATTCTTGGGAGTCGAATTAATTCGAGTTGCCGGCGAAGAAGATCAAGATGAAGAACTAACGGGAGAGTGAGAGCGTTGAGCAGACGTTGAAAAAAACTCCCGGACTATCGCAGATCAGAGATGGAAGACGGCCCTTCGATATCGAGATGAAACTTACTGGAGCACGCTGTGATGAGCAAGTTGACACACTCAGTGACGTGAGTCATTGTACGTGCAAGCGGTACTCACAAAATTAAGAATCATAGCTCCTGTGGTCAAGATGGAAACGATGCTGAAACATAGCCCATTTAGCCGTCGGTGTTAACAGTCCTAGTGCTACAGGCTCACCAGAAGTAAATGAGACCTGGGAAATAGTCAGATTCGTCCGTATGTACGCCAACCAGCCTGTGGAAGCACTTGCCTTGCTCAAAAACCAAATAGATGAAGCCTCGCTTTTGCTTTTTCCATGGACCACCCACTCGAAACGCTTGGATGCATCGCGCAATCGTTAAGATAGCTGACGAAAACTCGAATACGACCATCATTATGGAAAGGAGTGTGTTGACTAGAGGCGATACACGGGAATTCGACAATTAGCGACGAAGAGAATTGAAACGTGGAAAGGAAAGAGACCTCTGTCAAGGAGTGAGACGTGTGCCTAAACAAGAGAAAGTGGTTCTCACATTTGCGCGCTATGTGATCCTACACATTTCAAGCCTGGAACGTGCGACTGAGAGACAATCCGGACAGTGAGCATAACGAGACCTGGAGACAGGGTTCAAGCCAACATACAATGTCGAGAGCGATGCAGAACAAGCCCAGGAGCAGGAGGTAGGCCAATATGAGCCGATTTCGACCGAATATTGCAAACGTCCGAGCAGTGAATGTGACTAGAACGAATGCTTTCAGGGCCGCGACGCGATAGAATGAAGCAATAGAAACCCACTGATCACAGCAGAGCGCCCGAAAAGACTCAAAACTCCGATGATTTTGTACCAGGTATCGCAACTGAGATGAATGAATGAATGATAAATGTTGTGTGCTGAGCGAGCTGTCTTCATGGTATGATAGCCGAATTTGGCCTCACTAGAATGCAAGTGTCAGCGGGCTGAGCTTTCCGAGAAATCGAGTCAGTGCGCACCCTATCCCCTAGTTTCTTCGAGATCGCCAAAAGAAATAACACGTTCGCTACCAGCGCGTACCGGCAACATATGTATAAGGCCGTTGATAGTTGTAGTTTTCGTTTGGCATTCCAGATGTACTTGACCTCCAGAGGGAGGGTGAGGGTATAGTCGTAATAGAGGAGAGCTGGGTTTGTATGAGCTGGAGATTCTGGATGTTCGAGAGAATGTTCTAAGCACCTATGCTGGCCCATTGTATCGCGAACTGGAGAAAACTATTCCGAAGTTTGAAACGGTAAGAACAGACCGTTTCAGGTTCGATAAGGAAAGACACACCGAGTGGAAGCAGCCCGCTCCTCCTTGGAAGCCATTGGGCGGCGCGAAGTGAAGGTGGATGTGTGGGGAAGAGAAAGGTCTGGCGACAGCAAGTTTATCAATGATCTTTTGACCCGCCTTGGACCGGGAACATTCACATACATGGTATTCCTGAATGATGATTTTCAAGCGATACCCGGCGTTCCAGACATCCCCGAGACTCAGAGAGGCTGTAACCCAGGGCGCTGATCAGTAACAAGTCCATGTTCAAACAGTTAGCAGGTCTGTACTTGCCTTGGCCCTTGAGGGGAACTCGGATGTGGCCGCAATCATTTTCAGAGAACATTCAAAGCCATCAGTGATCACTGGTCAGAGTAGCGAATAGCAATTCGCCGCCCGCAAGACCTATGGTTTCAAATTGGTCAATACATCAACGTTCCAGCAGTGACATGAGATGGGAAACTTGAGCCGACAAAAATCAATACAATGTCAAGGTGAAATGATCTGAATGATCTGATTCTCTGGGCCGTTGGCTAGGGAAAAGAGGTGCGCAAGCAGACCTTTTGATCAAGATGGGGAGCGTAGAAAAGCAGGGCCATCTTCAGATAGTTGTGGGAATCAAGAGACAAAGCGATGCAAGGTCGCCCTTCGTCGACCCGTGCCGGACAGCTGCAGTAAAATTATCCATCTCCTTGGCTGGGAGTCGAACCCAGCTTTCGCGCGTACACAGGATGTGCCCATGACAGGCGCGTGTACTAACCGATATACTACCAGGGAGTTGATGGATATGAATTTATAATAAATATTACATATGCATAATTCAAATATATAGAAAGGCATGGCAGACAAAAATTGGGTACCTCATACCGTTTCTCTCCACATCTCTGGCCTTGGCCTTTCTCCCAAAGGCATACAAGAGCCACTAGCTCTCATCGTACAGAGTTGTCTACTTGGGGGCAAAGTCAAATCGCACTTGACAGGCACGTCTTTGAAAATCTCAAGGCTGAAGCCTCCAAGTTTGGTTGCCCGTCGCACTAAGAAGTGGTCGAAGCAGATTAGTTTATTCAGTTCATCTGAACATGCCCAGCTCAAAGCATCCCTAAGTTACAATTACATTTTACAAGTCCGATTACGCCCAATAGACCCCAAGATGGCTAAAAATACTCTCTAAATGACAGGCTCAGCATTGTCTGGAGATCGAGATACACACCGAAGCGAGTACGTACCATGCATCTGTCCAACCTGCAACCTACGCTTATCCCTCGTCTTCGGAAACTTGTCTTCCAAGTTCTTTAGCATCATCGGATGCAAGTTCCTTGTCGTCGGGACCAAAGGATTATCCTCATCCTCCAGACACTTAATCTGCACTCGAAGTTTTATATTGCAACCTTCCGCCGATATGATCCCATCTAGTCGTTCCCAGGCCGGTTGGTCGTATTTGAAGTCGACGAGACTGTCCCATTCGGAAAGGATGTAGACGTTAAACTCCGTGAGCGAGAGGGACGTGGAGGAGGTCAGGTTATCACACCACCAGTTAAGCGTTGTTTGGCATTGGTTAGGTTCGTCTGCGGCGAGGTCGATTCCGAGGTGAACGACGCGGAGAGAGGAGATGTCGAACGGAACGGTGTATGATTCGTCACCCGCGACTAATGAATACGAAAGTTTAAAACACAACTTTGAGGCCGGTAGAACAAAGGGATGATTCACTGACTGATCGTGATGTTCATTTCTCTCAGAGAAGTGCTCGCCTGGACGACTCGATGCACCACTTTTAGATTGTCTCTGAGCTCCGCGACGAGGCTGAATTTCCGAAGAGACGATAGGGCTAAATTGGACTGCGGGCCAAGCAGCCACGCGCAAAAGCGAGACGAAAGTTCAGGCTCCATGAACAGCGCCAAGGAATCAATCGCCCGCTGCTCTTTTCGCGACTCGGGAGTGGTAGTTATGTGGGCCATTTCAGAGTTGGCGCCCGCGGAGGGCTCAGTCTGTTCACGATCTACTGCCTCCGTAGTGGTGGAATCCTGACTCTGAGTCTCCGGCTCGGCGTCAGAATCCAAATCATCGTCCACGTCCACGGCAAAGAACGTGATGTTCTGTACCGCTCCACAGTTCGAAACCACCGATAAAAGCTCCTTGAACGACGAAAACTGAACGCACTGGAAACCTATATGCGTGAGTTTGGGAGACCTCCACGTCTCAAATAATGCCTCTTTGATTGGCTTTGGAAGGGACGCCATCTCCAGCAACGATTCCGACATGGATCCTGCGAGGTAGATTCGCTGCAGATTAGGAAGAAGAGAGAGAACCTGTGGCAGGGAATCGTCATCTTCTAACCAGCCACGCGTATTGGGTATCCCGTCCTCTGTGGCATCGTCCATGTTTCGGATCCGTAAATCTTTGATGAGGGAGGCTATACGTGGAGATGCCTCTAATAAAATCCGAAGCCGCTGTGCCATCGTCGTGATGGGAGTAAAGGTATGCGGTATTGAAGGCTCCCCTGTGGCGGAGGTTTCGGTTCCCGTTTTGGCAGGAACAGGATTCAACCTGACGCACTCAAAGAGAGCTCTTTGAGCCGGTATGTGAAAACCTTGGGAGGTCAGGCAGCACTGCTTTAGCGCTTCCTGATCTCCCTGGAGAAAATCGAGCGTCAAGTCAATAAGCTCTTGGGAAAATCCAAGTCTTCCTTTTCGGAATGACGTTGAGTCCATATCTCACGTCCAAAGAGCAAGTCGGGCAACGTTTGGCACTGACAAGCATGAGAATTAATGCCCACAGCGCACTCAGATGTCGACTTCATACCTGACTGAGTCGAGCGCTGTGACCGTAAAAGTTCCCTATCATGAGTGAAACTGTTATACAACAATAAAGAGTCATATAAAATGATCAAACCTTTGAAATATGATTTAGGCGTTCCTCGAGGTGGTGGTTGCTGAAGAAGCTATAAACTGCCGCTTTGACGTCGGACGGCTGTGCTCCAATCAGTGGCACAGCAAACCACGTGAGCGGTCCCAGGGTCCACTGGCTCCAAGTCCTCTGCACTTTGAAGGCAAGGTCGAACCAATAAATGGGACAACTTACGAGGGAAGCATGAACCATAACTTTGAATATTGGATATACTGGCTAAATTCAATGTCATAGCGAATTTTCCATTCTCGGGACCCAATACTTGTCAAACTCCATCCGCCGACCAACATGCCTTGAACTTACTGGCTACAACGACCCGCCACGAACCTGACCAGGGAGAGGTGACTCGTGAAACGTAAGTGTTCTCTAAATTCTGTTCAAGGTCATGTTGCTCGAATTACCCAGTGTCGCGGCCGTCCGTAATGTAGCGCAGAGCGTAGCCCGATGCCGTTGTCTTGAACAACGTCTCGCAGCTGAAGGTCACCTACACCGTGAGGTGCGGTGTTATAATCTAGTTTCGAGGGATCGGGCTGTTAGCGTGTGCAAGGACATGGTAGCTAGAGATTGACCAGGGCAGTGAGAAGAAATTATCATATCCGATTGCAGCACACGACCACATCCCGTCGCGGTCTTTCGATAAGAAGCCGCAAGGATCGTAATCTCGGATCAGTTGTAGCTGCTGCGTCGTAGTCATCATGATTGTCAAGGCTCGATGTCAACATCCGGATTCTGATAGATCAGGGATGTGATGCCAGGTCGAAGGAGACGAGACAAGATATGCGATCTCATACTAGGTCGCCGAGTTCCACCGCCTCAGATGTCCTATGTTTTGCTTGAGATGTGGTATGTAGGAGCGTTTCAGAACTCTATTTTGCTCTATTCTCGATATGAACGATGTAAAAGGTTCAAGGGTACAGAGTTCAACTCACGAATCTGCCAATTGGAATGAGTGCTAGGGCTCTGTATCTGACAGATACCCCTCCGCACATTCTCGGGAAATTTTGCAATTCTGCGGAAACATGTTCCAACTTGGTGCCTGCACTAAGTCTTCGAGGTCATAAGGTTGCGATAGCTTACTTACAAATAACAGCACTAACCAAGTTGCGTGTTATAGCAAAGGTCCAAAAGCTCACTGTTATAGATGGAACCTTGTCCCCAGCGACGAAATCGACTAGCATGTTTGCTGTGACGCAGGTCATTCTTTACGCTCTGCTCCGACGTTGAGATGAAGAGTGCAATGAGAACCCGCTGTACGCCTGCCAGGAAAGAAAGATTTAACGCCGAGCCGTCCAAGACGATGAAGGAGATTAGATGATGATGGCGGTGGAGGATCAACTGGGCAATCAACGCACCCATGAGAAAATTCTGGACGTGGCTGTGCCGCATATATCCTCCTTGAACCCGAACCTCCATGCGCAAAATTTGCCATACTCAAGACTGGATCAACTTCTCATACGGATGATTAAACAACTCCAATTCAACAACTCCTCCCGTCCTGTACCTGATACCCGCTATGTACACCATACCCAGGTCCTAGATCCCATCGCAAAAAAAAATCCAAGGGTTCTGGAGCCTTCAACGAGCGCCCGGGCGAGGTCTGGCGCTACTTCGACCGTCGACGGATATTGGACACTCGTCGACAAGTCGATGGGCTCCAATTTCTTTTGGCCTTGGAAAGAAATGGGAGCCGAAAGTCTACTGAACGAAAACCTGGAGCCAAGGTCAGATCTCCTGGGGCAGTGGTGGACTACCTCTTCGTGCTATACCTTCATGATTGCGCTCAGGCATCATCAGATTCATCATTCACAGGTACATGTTAACGGCTGCCTCCTCTCGGACTTAGCGGCGTTACGATTTGAGGTTCCTCTTCTGCTCATCCAGTTCTGGTTCCCCGTGACCGACAGCGATCTCGTATTCGGCGGAACAACATAATCAGGCTGCACCGGAATAGAAGATCAAAGGAGATGTAATTCCTGCGAGGAACGAGCGTCTTTTGATGCGTCCACATCGTATTCCGTTCGCGATACTCGTTCGATTGCAATTCTCACAGACTCAGACCCATTACTTCATGTTGCGTCGAGTTTCCACCAGCCGAGATACAGTTGCCGCCGAGCGGAGCGGAGCTATGGCTACGGTATGAGATTGGATACCTTAGAAAGGCACCTGAGAGCCAGACTTCTACTACATGTGACACTCTTTGCTTTTTCCAGCGCCGCAGTGATTTCCATCCTTACTATGGTCATCGCTTGGCCGGAGAATCAAACTCTATCGTTATCCGTTATTTGGTTCTGCTTCGACTCTTCTTTCATAAGATGGCTTTCGAATGGAATCGTTGAGACCCACCCCCCAGACCCATACCCCTTAGTCTCCACCCACAATGGTCAGCAAAGCGGAAACAGCGGCTGCTACCCAGTACGTCGACCCCTCCAGTGTCTCGTATTGACTTATTCGACTCGCGTTAACTCCCACCAGCTATCTCCAGTTCAATATACAATGGGCCAGCCTTGGTATGTGCTCCAACGTTCCCGGTCTAATTTTGCCACTAAACGCGGTCCCTCAGCCTTATTGTATTATGATTATGCTCTGACCTTGCCGTCAGAGATTAAATACATTTGGGGGGCAAAATTTCGCTTGTCCACCGTTCTATACGTCCTCTGTCGATACGCCCTGGCGGCGAATGTGATCTACCTCCTCGCTATTTCGCACCATCTCGGACAAGGAGACAGGGTGCGATCCATCGTTCTCTTTGCAGCTACTCGGCGACGACTGACCCTCTTTTACTCCCCAGTTCGGAAGCCGTTTTGTCCATTGTGTAACCCGTATCTCATTGCGGTTCCCTTAGGTGCGACGTTTGGTATAAGATTCTCGGAGTG